TAACAGCAGATCCGTGATGGTTTTCAAGTGGGACAGCATTAGCCTTTCAAACTGTGCAGTACCACGAGCAATAAAATGAAAATGAGTTTGTGTTACGCTTCATGAGTAAAACTAATGATTTCATTGCAGTTAAATATATCACTTTATCTGTAGTACTGGCGTAGCAGTTATTTATTCTTTTGTTACTCCACAACAAAATATTTTCTATTTTGAAAAGATAGAAATTTAAAATAAAGGATAAAAGCAACATTTTATTTATGTGTCTACACATATCACAGCAATACGGATATACTTGTTTCACAAGAAGACACCAGCCAGTGGGAAACCATCTGCTCCAAAATCCTTGCTGTGATAGGTGGATGGTTCTGGCAGACAGTTGGATCCACAGATTTAGCCGTCTCTCAAAACTGATTGACCTTTGCTCCTGGTTTGCCTGTGCAAGCATGCTCAAATATAGTGGAAACTAGTTTTGAAAGTGTTCTCACTTTATCTGAGCAATTCTGATTGGCTTTTAAAAAATGAGTAATACCCCCAATTAAGAACTGCAATATAAAAGAAAAGTGATTTGAAAACCACAGTAGAATTCCCTAATAATTTTAATTCTCCTAGATTTTTTTTAATCTACTGCATACAGTCTCTAAAATGACTTCTCCAAGAATTTATAGACCAGCAAACTTATTTAAGTCAAGCGTGACTATATTTGAGGGAAAGAATGCAGCTAACTGTTCACAACATGTAACCCAAACAGGAGTTTATTGAAGAGATCCAACATATGTTCATTCAAAAGATGACCATTTGCTGAGACACATATGGCACTTTTGAAAAAATAATCTGCATGGTAGTTACCATAACAACTGCAACAGAACCCTAAGAAATTTAAATAAACTAGGATACATGATTTCTGGATTCCATCGAAAAATTAAAAGTTTATCAGAAACCCCTCCCCCTCTTTCTTCCTTTGTTTCTCTAAGATAAATGAGTGCATGAACCCCAATGACTAAGTTATCAAGCACCTCTGGTTATTCATCTGAGGACCAGAACATAGACCCATGATGGCGACCCTATGGCATGCGTGGCACGCAGTGCCCTCTCTCATGGCACGCTAGCTGTTATCCCAGTTCAGTTCTGCTGCGCATGTGCGCAGGCCTCCTGCCATCCAGTTGGTCTTTGGGTCTCTGCCACACATGCGCAGGGGGGGCGTGCGGAGGCACACATGCACATTGCATTTTGGGGGTTCAGGCACACGCACGCACATTCACGCTTGCACATGCACGCTTTGGGCACTCGGTCCGGAAAAGGTTAGCCATCACTGACATACTCTTTGCATCCTGCTAACTGAAGAGGCTGTGTAATGAGGAACCTGGTGAGGAGAAATATTACATGCATCCAACAATGACCATTTAAGGAGTCAATCACTCTGATTATTTCTTGATTTTTACTCGCATACAGTATTGTTTTACACATACAAGCTAGTTTTCAAGTATCACATATTAAGATGTTAAAACACTAACTGTATTAATGTTAGAAATTCAGGACTGGTCATTTTACTGGTCATTTTAAGTAGGAATAAATTTGTTTACTTTGTTATCTTAATGCGAATCTGCCTAATTTACATTGTTCCAATAAAAAGACTCTTTGTTCATCAATATTACAACATGTTATACATGGGGCTGCCCTTGAAACGTATCCTGAAGCTACAGCTGATGCAAAATGCAGCTGTGTGATGAATTCTGGATATCCAAAGCATATGGAACACTTCTGCTCTGCAAGCTGCACTGGGTATCAGTGTGCTTCAGACCCTATCTGTTAAAGAATTCTCACTGGCAGAATCTAGGAGGAGAACCTTCTCTGCCATTGCCCCCACCCTGTGGATTATTCCCTCCCTCGAAATGAGACAAGCCCCCACTTCCTTGCCTCTGAAAAGAAGTTAAAATGTGGCTCTATGCCCTCTCACGGCGCCAACCACTCCCATGGCTGCATGCTGCCATTAGCTCCCTCCCTTTGCCTTTTTAATTAATTTTTAACAGATTTTAATCATCCTTGCCTCCTTTTAAATTCTATATTTTCTTTTTTTTAAATTTTGATATGATATTTTTATATTTTAACATTTTATTTTTCACCACACAGGGCCCCTCCCAAGGGAGATAGGTAGTTCAAAAATGTGAAAATAATTAAACAAATAAATATTCTCAATGAACATTATAAGGAAATACACAGAAAATATATTGATTTAATTTATTTGACATATAAACTGTAGAGAAGTTCAAAGTGGTGCATATTTATCAAATTTATTTGCCGCTCATCTTGCAGTTCAAGGCAACTCAAGGCGGTATATCATGCTCCTATTTTTCCTTCCTGACTCAACAACCCTGTGAAGTAAATTGAGCTGAGAGAAAATGGCTGGCCCAAAGTCACCCATGTCCTGGCAGAGGGTGGGATGACAACCTGGGTGTCACTGCTCCTAGTCCTACACTTTAACTATTACACTGTGTATCTCTGCATCATGGAATAGGATAAGCAGTTGCTGAAGATAGCTAACATTTTTCATGAGTGACAGATTAGGGTTTGCTGCTAGAGTCCATGCATAAAGCTGATGAAGATTCCACCCAACAGTCTGTATTACTGTGCTTCTGTGACTAAGAAGGCTCACTGCTTATGGGCAGTAAGGGTTACCTCTTACCATTGTAGAGGGAAGTGATGGGAAAAAATACTCTTGATTTAATTTATTACATTTATTATGGCCATCCATAGATTCTAGGTGACTTAGAAATCCCAAAATTAATTAAAACAATTAAAAATACATAAACAGGTACCACAGGCAACTTAGATTTGTTCTGGAATAACTCTCATCACTTCAACAAGTATGGTCAATGATTAGAAACTGTGAAAGTTATAGTAAAAATATTTAGAGGGCACCAGTTTGCCTATTCATGGATACATGGATTACATTTAGTTTAGTGGGACACAAATTAAAGAAGATATTAAGAAATAGGAACAAAGATGCCAGTATGATGGGAAACCTGGAGAACAATTACACTGACCTGAATGTGCTTAGCCCTAAGGAGATTAACATGGCAGTACTTTTTAATATGTAATTGTTTTAAGAAATAGGAACAAAGATACCAGTATGATGGGAAACCTGGAGAACAATTACACTTTAAAGCAGGGGTCATCAACCTTTCGGACCTCAGGGACCACTAAATTCATAATTTTAAATCCCATGGACCACTAATATGGTCTGCTTAATGACCGGCTGGGTGGGCGTGGCTAGGTGGTCATGTAACTGGGTGGGCATGGCCAATTTATGTCGAGGGGCGCCTCGACAGCCTCTACTCGCCCCTCCCCTCCCAAGCCCTCCTTGCCTGCCTGCCTGCCCGGGCTCCTTAGGGCCCCAACAGGAAGCAGTTGTTGGAGCTAAGCAGCCACCATGAGAAAGAGTTGGCAAAACAGCTCAGTTCAAATTGGATCTGACCGAGAAGGAAGCTCAGCAGAAGAACCTCATTGAGGACTACGAGCAGAGGATTTCCAAGACCTGCGGGAGTGCAAGGCCAGGTACCGGTACCTGGAGGCTCAGCAGGCTGAGATGGTCAGCCAGTTCCAGGCCATAATGCAGTCCCATTGGAACAAGGCCTTCGAGTTCTTTGCCACCAGTGGCACTTCCCTCCAGCCTTCGCCCAAAGCCCCACACCAGGAGGCCAAAGCAGACCCGAAATCGGAATTTCTGCCCCCCTCCGACCCACACAAAAAGACCCCGAAGGGAGAGACTCTCTGCAGTAACACAAACGTTCATTGCACATATCCGGCCCAGGGGCCATAGTTTGAGGAGCCCTGATTTAGTGCAATGTTAAAAATGCAAATAATTTTTCTGTGGACCACCAAAATTTTCTCACGGACCACCAGGGGTCCACGGACCACCAGTTGGTGACCGCTGCTTTAAAGAACTGAATGTGTTTAGCCCTAAGGAGATTAACATGGCAGTACTTTTTAATATATAATTGTTTTACAAAATAATGGAGTAGACTTACTCTCTTTAGCTTCACATGATAGGACTCCGATAATGCTAAGAACTTGCAGGAAAGCAAACATTGTGAATATATGAACAATTTGACTATGGAAGAATATATAGTAAAAGGTGATGGATTCTTCACACTTCTCATTTATGTATAAACTGGATGGCGATCTATCAGAGAGCCTATCGGGAAGTCTAAATAGCAGCTTTTTTGAGCAAAGACTTGCACTATATAAACCCCAAAGTCTTCTTCAACCTAATACTTTATAATTCTATGCAAAGGATAAATTGGACTCTGTGTGTGTGTGTGTGTGTGTGTGTGTGTGTGTGTGTGTGTGTATCTTAACTTTGTTGCTATCATAGATAGTAAATGACAATTTAAGATTGTTCAGTTTAAAAAAATAATCTCACTGTTCCTTTCCTGAGAGATGATTTTTGCCGGTGTCATTTTAGCAGAAGAACCTGTAATAGCCCTGGGGATTTCCAACCTTTTTTTTTCCTAATGGAATGCAGCCAAAGAGTTTATTGATGGATTTCTCTGGTTGGTTAATTCAATTTTGCACAGCTTTTCCTGACATGATGTAAAAATTAATTTAATGTGGCTGGATACCTCCCAGTGGAGATGTTTCATTGTACAGAAGGAACTTACAATAGTATTAAAGTAAAGTAAGTTACTGCACAAACTGTTCATACTTTCTTCAAAATATGAAATTGGAACAGTCCATAGTAAACTGAGAGTAGGATAGGTAAATGTGAGAGAATGAAGCTCCTACTGATAATACCTCATATTCTGTCAGTGTCTCCCTTGCTGAACAACATTCCCCTGGGCAATTTGAGCTGCTTCACTGCTGGCTTCACCATTGCTTGTGGGAAGTTGGCAGGGAAGGTTGCAAATGGTGATCATATAATGAGACTCACTGCAATGTCATAATCACGAGTCAGGTGCCCGAGGATCGGGATCACAGTCAGGTGACTGTGGCGATGATACAATAGTCTGAATTTCAAGAAGCAATCATGATTTTTTTCAGTATCACCATGACTTTGCATAGTCGCTGAATGAATGGATGTAAGCCAAAACGTATGTATTAATTAATTTTTCTATTACCAATTGTGGCTGGTTGACTAATATCAAAAATATTTTTTTAAAGTATACCATAATTTTGCCTTGAAATGACAACACTATATTCAACATTACCACTATTTACCCTTCCCACACTTCTGGCTACAAACATATTCTTTTATTATTCAAGTTACATATTTCTTGAATCCCGTTCATTCTCTATTCCCTTTGAACCAACAGGTTAAAAGTTCTATTTATTCAACCTTAAACATTACTCAAGTAATGTTCATTAAAATAGATTTGCTGATTTGCTTGAGGTCTTCTACATATTTCATAGTCACAAAACTTAGTTTTAATTTGACTCTGTTTGAATAAGCATTTCACGGGTGAGACAGGGCAGTGTAACTATACACTGTTATTTTTACCTATTATATAAATATTGATTTTATTCTGTTCATTGGCCAAAGTCTTAAGTGTTTGAGCACTTTATACCTATTGTAAGTAGCATATTATATTCATGAAATTATGCTTTAATGATGTGGTCATTTTAAGTTTGCTACTATAATACTTAACAATATATGCAACTCCTAATGCGTACTGAAGGTAGTAGTAGCTGATGACTGATTACAAACATTACAGCAAAGTATTTTTTATATATATGCAGCTACTCCAGGTAGCTGGAATAATCTAGTTAATTAGCACCTGACAATCTTACAAAAGCCATAAAGAATCTTCTCTGATCCCTATTATATTCCAAAAAACAATTAATATTTCAGTTTTGCTCTTTTCTTTTTTTTTAGCTCCTCCCCCAAATGTTTGCCCAAAGCAACCATTTCCACTGACTCATTTTATTCTCTCAGTAGTGAAATAGGTCAAGGCATTTTTTAAAAAGGAAAAATCTTACCCAGCATAGATATAACCTAATTAGCAGTCTACAAGAGCCAAAATTCTCTCTAAATATTCTTCAGTGTCTAGATTCTTGGCAGAATCTAGAGCAAACAACTTCTGCTCAGTGTTGCCAATTATTAATTATAAGTTTAGACATCCATTTTTTTCCAAGGTCTGTTCCAATCATAGCATCTCCCTCTATCAGCACCAATAAATAATAAATATCCCAACAGGGATATTTTTAAGAAAACATTTCCACAGTGCATTCTCTCCTGACAATTTACAATATATCTGTAACAAAAAAAAAACAAACAAACCATGGTCTATGATGCATATTCAGTACAGTCTCCCAGGGGGCACACTGTTGAGCTCAAAATTTTAGGTCAGTAACAAGTGGTACTTAAAATAAAAATGTTGTAACACAGATTGTTTCTGTTCCAACCTGTCATGTCCTTCTGTACAGAACTCCCCTCTACCACTCTACTGTTTCAATCCATGTATAATCTCTGCCAATTTTGAAGACAAGACCTTTTTTTATTAAATTACTTCTCAGAGTTGCTCCTCCTTCCGTTGTTTTTTTTTTTTTTAAGAATTGCTACTTTATGTGATTTAGTCAAAATTTTCATCATATATAATGGACTTAAAATGGACAAGGAGTGGCAACATGTAAGATTTTCAGTGATGGTAAAAGTTCTTTTAAATCTTCTCATTAAGCCCATAGTTCTAAGAGGAGGCTTTTAATGCTTTCCATACAAAAGCTGTATTTCATGTTCCTCAGCTGTTAAAATTTTAACGGCATTTGTTCTAGCCTTTTGTTTGTGGCTTATAAAAAAGTCAACAGTTGCTCAGATCTTTATAGTTCTCTCTCTCTCCCTCTCTCTCTCTCTCTCTGTGTATACATACTTTTGTATATACCTGCTTAGTAGGGCTCCCCCCCCCCCCGCAAGCGGTGTTCTATTTTATACAAAGTCAGCTTATTGCCCCCACAAACCCGGTCCTCATTTTACCTACCTCGGAAGGATGGAAGGCTGAGTCAACCTTGAGCCTGGTGAGAATTGAACTCGCAGTAATTGCAGGCAGCTGGCAGCTAAATACTACTTTAACAGTAGTTTAGTCCACTGCACCACCAGGCTCTTAAAGATGAGATGATATTTTATAATCAATGTTGGCACAGACTCTCCTTGAAGCACTGAGGCTTCTACATAGGTAGAAAGCTGCTTCAAGTACTCTCTTACCTGTTTTCACAGGAAAAAAAATATGCACAACTGTTTTGTTTTCCTGATGATCTTACTAGAAGTTTTGTCTATGCATGTGCATGGCTGCCTCAAGTCGTCAGGAGTATATGGTTTAATTCATGTTAACATGTTTTGCTGAATGCCCCTCTAAATGCTTTGCATAGTTTACTAGTTATGCTTCTCTTATGCTTCTCTGTAACATAAAGAGAAACTTCAAGTAGCCAGAAGCTATTACTCACACATTTAATTTCTAACCTATCCCATGGGTGAGTTAATGTTTTCCTCTTCAATAACTGCAAAATAATCCATTCCCAATCACAGAACTTGCCTTTGCCAGAGCTTCTGTCTAAAGGACAAATTTCCTAGAAACAATTTCCAAAAAAAGCTCTTTTTGTCTCATTTCGTCAGAATATTCACACAACTATTTGAAAAACTATTTGAAAAACAAGCATGACCTTTCATTCAGTAGAAGACTCCTGAAAAAAATGATTTGCTGTCAAAAAGGCACTAAGCTTTTTGATGAGCTTGCCAATTCAATATAAATTGCATTTGGCATTTTAAAAAATGCAGAGGAAATGTTTCCATGTAAATGTTATAAGCCAAAAACATTATTGTGCTGATTGTAAAAATGAAGAGGCCAATCAACCTAAATCAAAACACAGAAGCACAAATCAGTCTACTGAATGCTGAGATTTTAAAGTATTAAACATCTGACATTTTGAAAAAACTTGGTTTTATTGTTCCTGGAGGTCTATGTACAGATGGAAAGAAATTTATATTTCTCATGGTAAAGAACTGCATTCAAGATATGTGTTCTTTATCACTTTTCCAAATATCTTTAAATTCTAAAATGATTAGATAAAGATAGATGTCTATATGGTCTAGATTTACAAGATTTGCTAAATGGTTTAAGAACTGAATTAATTTTATATGGATACAACATAGTAGATGCTTCTTCCCTTTTTTCATTTTCTTTTAGTGCAGTGATGGCTAACCTTTTTCTTGTCATGGGCCAAAAGCGTGCGTGCGTGCGTGCGTGCCCATAATGCAATGCACGCGTGCGTGCCCATAATGCAATGCGTACCCCCCCATGCATGCACTTCCCTCCGCCCCCCCCCGGCATGCATGCGCGGCACCCCTGCCCTCCGTTTTTGGCCTAGCAGGCCTCCCTGCAGCCTTCTGCGCCCAAAAATGGGCTGTGGGGGGGCCACACCACACCATGGGCTGTGGGGGGACACACACACTCCCCACGCTTCCCTCCCCCCATGCATGCGCACACGACCCTCCCACACTTCCCTCTGCCCCCCCCCATGCGCGACACCCCTGCCCTCCGTTTTTGGCCTAGCAGGCCTCCCTGCAGCCTCCTGGGCCCAAAAATGGGCTGTGGGGGGGGCACACCACACCCCCTGCACTCCACCCCTGCCCCCGTGCATGCATGCGTCTCCCGCATGCATCCCCTGCCCTCCCGTGCATCCCAAAAATCAGCTGGCCAGTGCAAGGCGTGAGGGAAGTGCGCATGAGCACATGCACGGTGGAGCTGAGCTGGGCGATGGCTTGCATGCCCGCAGAGAGGGCTCTGCGTGGCAGCTGTGGCACATGTGTCATAGGTTCGCCATAACAGTTTTAGTGTATATTAATTACTCTAATATACAGCATACAGCTTCTTTATTATACTATCACTGGTGTATTATTTGGGTTTTTTTTTTTTTACTCATTTAAATATTTATAACTATTTAAAAATATTCATATTCATTGAAAAATTTTGGAAGTGGTTTACCACTGCCTGCTTCCTGGGGCTTAGAGAGAGTAATGGGCCCAAGGTCATTTATGGTCTTCTGGTTTGTATCTTGGAACCATTATACCAAACTGACTCAATACATTCTCATACAGACCTCTAAAATATTCTCTTCAATATCCCTTCAGTTACTGTAAGTTTCATTGGAAATTATTTCATTTGTTTTACTTTTAACTCCATCCACTATACCGGAGGATCCTTGTTTGATCCTCCTCTTCTATTCTAATATTTGTTTTCCTTACTACCATCAAAATTACTTTGCATTTTCTTTGCGTTTTTAAACTTTAAATATTTCTTGTTCTCATGGGTGATATTCTGTTGTTGTTTTGATTCCTGTATGCTGCCCAGAGTCATTGTTGTGAGATGGGTAGCCACATAAATAATTTAAATAAATAAATGTAACTGAAGAAATGTTAAAATATGGATGAGATTTGCTTATGAAATGCTGCTTGACTTGTTTAATACATGTGTGAAGAGCACATCTATATGTAACAGAGAAAAGAATGCTGTTACTGTTCCTCCATACAAAGGAAATGGTACCCAGAATTAAATACAAAAACTCTAGGTTAATGGCAGATAGGACAGCGCTCCAGAGGGTTAACATCATTGCCCAGAGGATCATTGGTTGCCCTCTCCCCTCTCTGGAAGAGCTTTATAGCTCCCGCTGCCTTAAGAAAGTTCAAACAAGATCCATTTCATCCTGGGCACCTTTTTTTGAACTATTACCATCTGGCAGATGGTACAGGACAATAAAAACAAGGACAAATAGGCTGAAAAACAGCTTCTATCCCAGAGCAGTAACTATACTGAATTCTACTGTATAGTGCAATGTTAATGCAATATCAGTTTTCAATTCAATTGTATAGAATGTGAAGGATGCATATTTTTATTTTATTTTTTATGTATAATGTACATTGAAGATGGCATTTAATTTTGTAATATGAGGTGCAATGACAATGAAGTAAAGTAAACAATGAGCAAAGTTTGGTAAATGTAGTGCAGCTTTTGTTTTAGGCAGCATACCAGATCTTTATGCATTCAATCAGATATATCACTGAGATGAATAAAGGTGAAAAAGAAATATTATTGTATATTGATTT